CACGTCTGGCACTGCAGGATTTGATTCCCTGACGTTGTAGTGTGTTACTGATGGTAACCTTTTTTACTTAAGTCCCAGCTCTCTGCAGGTCATTCACCAGGTCCCCCCGTGTGGTTCTGGGATTTTTGATTACCGTTCTCATGATCATTTTGAGATCTTGCGTGGAGCCCCAGATTGAGGGAGATTATCAGTGGTCTTGTATGTCTTCCATTTTCTGATAATTGCGCCCACAGTTGATTTGTTCACATCAAGCTGCTTGCATATTGTAGATTCATTCTTCCCAGTCTGGTGCAGGTCTACAATTCTTTCCTGGTGTCCTTCGACAGCTCTTTGGTCTTGGCCATAGTGGAGTATGGAGTCTGACTGTTTGAGGCTGTGGACAGGTGTCTTTTATACAGATAAGTTCAAACAGGTGCCAATAATACAGGTAATGAGTGGAGGACAGAAGAGCTTCTTAAAGAAGTTACAGGTCTGTGAGAGCGAGATCTTCCTTGTTTGAAGTAACCAATTACTTATTTCCCACCATAATTTATAAATAAATTCTTTAAAAATCCTAAAATGTGAATTCCTGGATTTTTTTTTCACATTCTGTATCTCACAGTTGAAGTGTACCTATGATGAAAATTACAGACCTCTGTCATTATTTTAAGTGGGAGAACTTGCACAATCGGTGGCTGACTAAATACTTTTTTGCCCCACTGTACACGTAGGGGTCATTGGGCTTTGTTGATATGCTATTTGTAAGCCATAACGTTGTATACGGACGTTTTAAACAGATTTGTTACGATTTGTTATTCAGTGATGGACAATACAAGTCAGGGGTTTTTAATTATGAGCCCTTGCGTACTTGTTATGACAGTAATTCTGATTTTGAGGACTCTGTTCAGATGAGGAGCAATCTTCCAAGATCTCAACATTTGCGAACCTTAGGGCCGTTTCCACGGGCTGAACTCATAGATCTATGGTCCAACCGGGTCTGACCCGTCTCGACCCGGTTTGCGGATGCGGTCAGTTTGAGCTTGATGGTGCCAGCCGAGTAAATAAGTTTTAGCGAAAGTAGCACAAAGGGACAAAGGAATGTATATCACGGACATCATCGTAGTGCAGAGAAAAGTTAAGAAGCGTAAAAGTGACTACCATGAAATGAAAGATCCCAGCCATAAAAGTGGACAGAACCGAAAAGTCTGGAGATGGTTTGACAACATGGATTATTTTTACGGACATCAGCTAACACACTAACAACAGCTAACACGTCAATACCCGCAACACAGAGAGAGAAGCCTCAACTCTATGTCCCAGCTCCAGATGTTGAGTTTGAGAGAAATGGTGAGTGTCTGTCTTCGATCAAATGCGAACATATATGGTCTTCTACTGAATGTGCGTCTGTGAGGTTCTAAAGTCTAAAACATGGACTTTTTTATATAAACATATTGACACGTGTGACGATCGGCGCTCCTATTGGACAGTGAGAGCTCACGGAGGATAGACGCGGAACCGGCAGAAAACATTGAGGGCTCGTATGTGCAGCATGTCTGCTCTGCCTATGTTTGCTCTTTTTAGAGCAAACCACCTTCAACATCAACAGCAGCAGCTCATATGACACAGGCGAAACACGTTGTTTTAAATATTGGAACAGCGTCGGAGAATGCATGAGGAGAAAGCCGATGGAGACTGTGCGCTCCGTGCCCTGTCCCACACTTGGATCCATTATAATAACGGCCCTGTTCAGCATTGTGGATAAACCATGGATCTATAATAACCACGGGACAAACAGACGCTGAGGATCAGGTAGGAACACAAGAACACAATTCACTACATGATGCGGAATATTGCTCTTTGAGACATGAGTCAAACAGTGTCAGGCTTTTAATAATGCAAATGGTTTGAAGATGCTGCCATTAACATCAATGTATACTGTGAACAGTTTTAACTCCATAAGCCTGTTGCACAGCGTCTCCTCACTGCTCCAGGTCTGCACACGGCTCATTGTTGTTGTGTAGCGTTAGCAGCATAGTTAGCAGCATAGTTAGCCGCTGCGTGGCTAATTCCTCAGTTTCTGTCTGTGGCTTGTTAAGCCCAAAAAATGCGCACGTATCTTGGAGTTGTGTCGAATCGACACCGGATGTATTCAGACCTTATTTGACTTGGACCAGAATTCGTTTGGAAGACGACCGAGACCACCTAAAAAAGTGGGTCTCGGTTCGGTTCTTTGGTCCGGACCAGGATTCGTTTGTGTGTATTTACACCTGCATAAAAGCTTCGGATCAGAGTTCCAAACAAATCCTGGTCCGTTTAAAGTGGAGCAAATGTGCAGGTCTGAATACACCCTATATCTTTTACTAAACGTAGTTAGAGAGTGAAACATGGATTCATGGTTCAATGACAGTCGTTGTGTTTTCTGCTGAATACTGGGTTGAAACTCGTAAAACTGGTTTTAGTTGGAGCTTGATAGAACAAATTTCGGCTGGAATCATGGAACTCGCGCTGGTGTCTTCTCTCAGTTTGTTTGGACTGTCGCCTTCTCTGAAGTCAAAGATCATAGGGACTGCTATTTACACTCTTCTTTCAGTAACTTTCATTGCTGCATCCCGGGGGCATGCAAAATACACCCATTTTACACACTAATACACTCTACAGTCAAGATTCAAGATTAATTTATTATGTCCCGTAGGAAATTTGTCTTGGCTGCTACATTGAAAATACACATAAGACAGACATAAAACACAACACAGTAACACCGACATAAACTAGTCTTACTTGTGTTGCAGCAGAAGCACAGTCGTGCTTGTATGTATGTATGTTTGTAATGTGTTTTGCATATTAAACAAAAGTTTTTAATAAGGATAGTTCCCTTTTAACCCGGAAAAAACAGAAGTGATCCTACTTGGTCCAAAGCGCCTGCGCGACCCCTTTGCCGACAAGATAATCACCCTCGATAATGTCATAGTACCCATAGTACCCAGCAACACTGTGAGGAATCTTGGAGTCATTTTCGACGAAGAGCTCTCCTTCAAGGCTTATGTCGTTCTAGTTGCTTGGCTTATACATTTCCACTTGCGGAACATCACTAAAATTGAAAAAAGTCCTTCCTAAAAGTGACGCCACTTTTAGGAAGGATATTCCTGATTTTAGTGATGTTCCGCAAGTGGAAATACGCCGGAAAAACTGATCCATGCTTCTGTCACTTCAAGGCTTGACAACTGTAACGCTTTACTGGCAGCGTGCCCTAAAACCTCTTTGAAGACCACTGAACATGGCCTCCTCCATCTACACCTGCGGACTGCCCTGCCCGACTCGCCTGGGAGTGCTTCAGTCCTGCACCGGACCTGTCCACGTTCTGCGGCCGCTGCGTGGCCCAGGTCCACGTTCTGTAACTTAGGTCCTGGATCTATAGCCTGTCCTCCGTGTGGAGCGGATTCCTCTCTCAATATGTGGGTGTCCGAGGTTTCTCACTTTTCTCCCACTGGGTTTTAGAGTTTTTCCTTTTCGATGCAAGAGGGTCTGTTGGACAGTTAGTGTCCAACAAGAAGGACTGTGGTGACGATCCAGGACACTTTAAACAGTCTACAACATGTATGGACATTTATCAACATGTGTTCTATATTCTTTTTGTGTCTTGACTGTTGATTCTCTGATCTGTGTTGGTGATTTCAATGGTTTTGTTAAGTCCTCTGAGATGACTACTGTTGTGATTTAGGGCTATACAAGAAAATGTGTTATTGATTTGTATCATCGAGAACAACTCGGCCCTATTTAACCAGTACCAGGTCCTTCTAAATTCCCTCTTGGTCCTGGTTCTATCCATGTTGAACTGGTAAATAAACTGTTCTAACTGACAGTGATTGGCCAGAGTGCTGCTGGAATTTCCCCCTGATGCTGGTTTGTTGTGGGTAGGTTTCTAAAAAAAGGTACCGGATACTAAAGGGTAACGGAATCACAACCAGGTTGAGTAGAGCCGAGAAGAGTAGAGCTGGTGGAAACTGGATTTACCAGTAGTCACAAACACATCCCCTTCTTCCTGAATCCTCTTACAGATTTTGGATGTTTAGATTCATCATTTGGGAGGGACTGCCTGAGATCTTACACCCTACAATCCCAAAATGAGGTAGTGTTGTGTAATGGCTATTAAATATGAAGACATTTAAACCCTTTATAAGAGTCTCTCAGAATGAGCCTGGTCTTCAGACAGTTATTGAAGAACCAGAGATGTGACCCTGCAGCAGTCCCATTACCCAGACCACCATGAACCAAGAGACTAAGCACCACTTTACCACACAGAATACAGTACTATATCAGCACAACAGTTACATAATTGAGGCTCAGTAGCAAAAGGAGAAATGCAACAGATTACAGTTATTGTAAAAACACTCGACATGCTGCTCTGTCCTTTATGTTAGGGATTTAATGTGGCTTTTCCTTGATTTAGAGAATGAGAAAATTAAGTGAAAAATATGCGGATGACGTGTTAATGCAATTTAATTGTTACATGAATTATTATTCAACTCATGTAACTTAGAATTCCAGGTTGGGTACGCATACAATGTACACAGACTATGCTAACCCACTAGCTCAATGAAGCCCAAAAGGGAAGTGCTCGTTGTGAACTTTTGCTCCAACTTGCTCTGGCTCCTATCGGCGCCTCGAGCTCAGTAATCTGTGGTTTAGGGCTCTCTGTGATCATTATGTTTATATTGTGATACTGTCTTTGTAAATCCATCAAAAACACGTCTGCTCCTGTTCATGGCACAAAGCTAATGCCACAGAACAAAAGCGCATATAATTAAATGAGCTCCTGCTTATGATCAAATCTGCCTCTTCTGCATTAAAGGCTAACACTATGGTGATGTCATATGTAGTCAGTAAACTCTTAATATACGCTCTATGGGCTCATGTGGCAACAGCAGCTAGATTTAGACCTTCTGTAGAATGGATTCATTATCCTGATCCATGGGCAAATCATTATTTTACATTGTTTTGAAAGTCTGATTCCCGGTCATTACCTGGGAATGGTGACACATTTGGTGTTGCAGTTCTGCATGGCCACAGCCTTCTCCAGCTCGTCCAGCTGCCCCGTCTTCTTCAGCTTCTTCACCAGGATCTTGACGGCCTTCTCGCACCACTTGTCCTCCTGGCCATTCTGCTCCCCTGCGCCTGCTCCGCCCGGTCCGCTCTGCGACTTCTTCCACCCCAACAGCCGCTTCACCACTGGGGGAGTGAATGGCAGGATGGACGACATGTCTCAGACGACGGAGGAGTGGAGTGTAGAGGAAAGCTTTGGGCCCTGGCTTGGAGGGGCCCGTCCTACCACAGACAGGCTCTCAGCGTGGAGGCCAGGGTTAGCAAAAGGACGCAGAGTTCACCTGAGGCACATAGATGGGGTTAGTGAGGATTTCAAGATTCAGCAAAAGAGCATTAAAACTGCAGCCCATTTGTCATCGCCGTTGAACTTAGGAGGCCTTTGAATACTGTGATTTTCTACCCCTATGCTGGTTGAGTTATAATCTATGGAGCAAAGTCTATGCAGTTTGCAGAGATCAATTAGTCACTTAAAGATTCCATCTTCTCACTGCCCTTTCGTGCACATTATCATGGGAATTTAACCTCAACACAGTAACCAGCTACAGGTTAAAAGTGACAGTATAGTTTAAGTTTTTAAGTGACAGGACTAATTTTAAATTACCAGAGCAATGTCACATTCCGCTTGAGAAACTAATGTAATGAAAGAATGAAAGAAGTCGTTCAGCCTCAGGAAATGGCTTGAATGTAATTTCTGTGTTTTCTAGAGCTAACAGATCGCAAATAAAACTAGATGGCTCCGTGGAATGAGAGCGTAGGGAAATGAGAGACCTGTGAGCGAGTTGGGGGGCGGTGCTAAACATTCAAACTGTGCAGAAACGGGTATAGCTCCTTTAATATATCATTATTATTACACTACTTCAGGCACAAAGGTCCGTATGCATTTAAAGAGACAAAGCACATACAAAACAAAGATAGACTATAATTTTCATATGGCCACATTTTAAAAAGATTTTTTTATTCGTCCCACAGCGGACAAATTTCAGGTTTTCACACTTCTTATGCAATAATTTCACCACTGCTATTTTTGGGCAGGCAGCCTAATTTCCACAATCCCTACTTGGCCCAGCTCTACTCTGCCTAATTGTTTTTCAATTACAATTTAGTATCTTGTACTGTATCCTAGCAACCTTCCCACCAGAATCCAAGGAACTTCTATGGCTTCCAACAGCACCATGGCCAATCACTGTCAGTTAGAATACTTAAGCACCAGCCTGGTCTGGAGAGAACCAGAGTCAAGAGAGACTAAAGAAGGATCTGGTACCGGTTAAACTGGCCAGCGGACCCACCAATCCCACTAATTGGGATAACACTACCAATCAAGAGATAGTAGAGTGTGGCTGGTGGAAATGAGTCTAAAGACAACGTAAAAAAGCTATATTTAAAGCTTTTGGAATAAGCGTAGATGCTGCAAATCAAAAATGAATCCCGACGGTGTCTCAGCCTCCACGAGCAGCACGCCCACTGCGAGAGGAACGCCTGGGACCTGGAGACTCCAGAGTTAGCTTCGGCTTGTTGTCAAATCCTTTTGTTGTGATCCCCGGAAAACCTCCTTCGCGCATTAGACAGATCAGGGCACTTTAACACCATCACCAGAGTGTAAATCCACACCAGCACACAGAACGACACAGAATGCATGCAATGTGGTCGTAAACGTGCAAGCAAGGAAGGCTCAAAAGAGCTTTTAAGCACAGAAACGAGTTAGCACATCGGGCTTGTAAAGAAGCTAACAATGCTAACTGTGCTAACATGCATAACAACATGATGAAAAGTCTGTTTGGATATTTACCGTGTGTGCGTGATCATAAAGTCCACGTTTGTACAGAAACAGTCGCTGGAAGTCCCCTAAATCCCATAAAAATGATGATATCGAACTGAGCCACGGCTATTATTGAGAAGGCTCGTTACGAGAGCAACAGAAGCTAGTCAGCCGCAGGTTTGGTAGACCGGAACAAAACAACCAACGTGCTGGTGACGTCAGGACTCTGTGCTCCACCCACACAAAAGATATGATATATACTCAACCCATGGATCTATAATAATAAGACTCAACCCATGGATATATAATTGATCATATGTTCGTAGTTACAACCAGGATATTTGCATCGCATATTACATGCATGTTTAATGTAAGTGAACATGCGCATTGATCTCACGGTTTACAATGAATTGAACAATAGTTGTGTTAAAGATAACTTGTGTGGGACAAAAACGAGCTTGCTGTGTCCTGAATCAGCATTAGTATTTCAGGCTGCAACAGGTTAATCAATTAATTGCAAATTAATAACAAGTCCATCACTTATATAGTTGGCAACTCATTCAGTGCGGCATGGAATCAGTTAGTGAATCTTTCACAGATTGAAACATCTGCGTAAGATTGTAAGAAGTGTAACATCTGTGTGTAAGAGGTTTACAGAGTCTCTGTACTCTGCGTCATCGCCCTCGGAAGTGAGTCCGATGATGGCAGAGTTGTCAGAGAACTTCTGTAGGACACAATCATCCGTGTTGTGTCTGAAGTCCGCAGTGTAGAGGGTGAAGAGGAATTAATAGTTACTTATGTAACTTAAGTTATACGAATAGGTGCGTAGTCCCTTAGGACTTCGCTAGTGGGATATCACGGGTGTTTGCGCATGTGCAGTCACCTAAGTGTCAGTAAAACATTACTGAGTAAAACACAGATGTCATTTGACTGTGGTGCCATGTCCATGTGCCATGCCTGGTTTTTTTAAATCCAAATATTTCCCCTCCTCAGTTTATAAAATAATTTGCATCCACACATCTGTGTTATCAATCACATTCGTAACATTCCAAACATGTGCGTCTCTTACGTCCTGTCCTGCGTTGGGGAAAAACACAGAAGTGGGCGGAGCTTTGATGCAGACGCCGGTAACGGCACTTTTACAGTCATAGAAGACACTCAGAGTAAAGACGTATGTTTACAAGCACTGACCCCGTCCTCAGCCCTGGTTTAGTCCTGGTTTAGTCCTGGTTTAGTCCTGGTTTGGTTGTTTTCGAGCGTGAGTCCCCGCGATCACTTTGCTGCTCTCTGATGTGGAGGATGTTCGCTGCTGCGAGCATCTCACAGCGAACAGTTTTTAAGGTAGTATGATCCATGCTTCAGTGATCAGAGGAATTTAGGGGGGTACTGTGGCGTGCGAGAACGCAAAACTCCGGTTATTTCTGTCTACACACAAATGCACGGAGTTTTCAAAAATCTCCACTTTGCCCGGAGTTTTTTGTATATATTAGTTTAGAATGTGTAATTTTTTATTTATTTAATGCGATCTACCAATACTACCTTTGCGATCGACTGGTAGATCGCGATCGACGTATTGAGCACCCCTGCTCTACTAGATACACAAAGCACACACATTTGTTGGTCAAGAAATGTGTGAAAGGCTGCAGGTAGCAACAGAACCAGCCAAACTAAAACTTGCAGCTATGGTCAAAAGAGACTCTATTTTGGAAAGTCAAAGAGTACAAGGACTCAAGATCAGAGGATTCTATGAAACACATGCATTGAGCTCCCCCCAGCTTACACAAGAGACTTCATTCCACTAGACTCATATTCCTACATGTAAAACAGCAAACAAATGGCCAATTGCTAATTTACTGTAGCTAAAGAGATGCCCCTCTAATAAACTGTGCTGTTGGACGGAGGCAGTGGTACTCAGTGAAATGACTGGGGTCCTATGGAGGGAGTGGGGGATCTCATGATGTTGAGGTGATTGACGAGCGCATCCGTGCTCGTCTATCAACGCAATACAATATTAACACAATAGTTGCGTTGGTCCGCTCGTTTGCTTTAAAACAGTTTCCATTGTTAATAACCTATAACAATGGAAACCTACACTCACCGGCCACTTTATTAGGTACACCTTGCAAGTACCGGGTTGGACCCCCTTTTGCCTTCAAAACTTAAGTCTTAATCATTTGTGGCATAGATTCAACAAGGTACTGGACACATTCCTCAGAGAGTTTGGTGTATATTTGATAGCAACATGCAGGTTTTGCAGATATGTCGGCTGCATATATACACGCAATACACACATGTTGTTGGAGAGTGCACATCGGGTGATAGCTACGGATCTGAGTACAACTAGTTGCCAAAAAAGTAGTGTCAGGATTTAGCAGACAGAGACGGATCGTGGTGCGCCAAACTCTGGAAGTTTATTTAAGTTTCTCTCAAGTTCCACTGGTTTACTTTGTTTCTTTCTCTCAGACAGAATAAAGGCAGTACACAGTTTATGTAGTCATTGTCACGTCACACATCGAAAGACATACGTGTCACAAAGAGACAGTCACATCATAGTCATAACATGGAGTCCTTGTAGAGTCCTTGTACAGTCCTGCACGTAGGCCATATTGCTATCTAATACTAACACCCTCCCCTTTGATCACATAATCACATGTGATCACTCAATTTGATCAATCAATAAAGTGGAAAAAGAAGAAAAAAAAAAATAAAAAAATAACTTAAAAAATATTAAAAAACAAAGAAAATGTATGCATTAAACTCATAATCATCAAATCAATATCAGTGGATTTTATCCTCTATCCTGGGGAAAAAAACAAACAAAAATAAAGTAAATAAATAAACAAAAAAACAAAAACAAATCAAAAATAAAAACAAACAAACACTATTGGACACACAAGAACTCAGCAGATTCAGTCAAAACACAGACAAAAACGAGCTGAGTCTCAAATTAGAAGCTAATTTAACTTTTATTACTCTACTATTATTCTAATGCTAATTGTTTACACTACACTTATTTCACTGTATTATTATCACTTTTTAATCTTAGACTGTGTACTTTACTTTCATTATTCACTATAGTTTAAAACTATTCTAATCTATTCACAAATATGTTTGCATATTTGCTTCTATTGAGCCATATTCTTAAACTAATAAATCTAATAAATCTCTCTGTGGTATTATACTCTCATTATCAGTGGCTTATTATCAGTGGGATTTTGCTCCATGTCTACTCTCATTCTCAGGAATAAAACTGAACACAGAAAGGCAAATGGTTAATATGAACATTATTATGGCGGTCAGTTTTCCAAATACATTTGTTGAACCAGGAAGTGCTGTCACTTCCTCCTCTCAGGCAGTTTGGGATGATTGTACATCATTAACTCATTGACTGCCAGCTGTTT